ACTGCCTGTGGCTGCTTTCCAGCTGCAGCAGTGGCGTTGAGTCGTCGTGAGAGGCGGTGAGCCCCGCAAAGCCTCAGCTATCTACTGTTTGTCCCTTTAAGAAAACCCGACACTGTGTGTGTTTAAACTCAAGTCAGACCTGGGTTTCATCTCTACCCTTTGACCTCTGGGAGCCTGGACTCTGAGAGGAGGATAATGAAGGGTGGTCCTCGGGATGGCTGGGGGCTTCTGTGGGCTGACACCGGCCTAGAGTGCAGCCAGCGGGGTGCCGAGCAGGGAGCTGCCTGGGCTGTGCTGGCTGCCTTTAACAGATGTCCACAGCCCAGGCTCCCTGCCCGTTAGCCTTTCCCTGTCCTGCCTCAGGTCGTCACCAAGGTGGAAGGGCACTTATAGGGAGCATCGTGTTCGTCACCTCTGCTGTGCTAATCCCAGCAGTCTCCCTTTTAGGGGACACAGTGGGCTCCCCCCGGTCTCCAGAGGACCCCATTTCCGTAGACCATAGAATACAATCCTCCCCAGACCTTGGGCAGCTCCTATCGCTGCTCTCCGCCCAGCCCGCTGGCTCCTGTCTCATGCAGAGAACCAAGTCCTCACTGAGGCCCCCGTGTGCCCCGCCCCCACCTGACACCTCCCCGCTCCTGTGCTCTGCCCCGGGTTAGGCCAGGCCTGCTCCCACCCCGTCACACCTACCCTCCCGGGGACCACTGCCCATGCCGCGTCTGCATCTGTCTCATCTCTGTCCCCCACCAGCTTTTGAAGCCCCAGCAATGAGAGCTGCCCCCACCCCTCTTTGTCCCCCTCACCCCACCCCGTTACTTCCTGGTTTTTGACTCCCACGTGGATGGGTGACTGTGTCTGTCTCCCCCAGCTCCAGGCTGGCAGGGACGGCCTGAGTCATCGCCACCCCCCGGTGTCCGACCTGTCCTTGCATCTCTCGGGTGCCTTTGCACCTGTGTGCAAACGAGAGGCCAGACTTCTCTCTGCCTGCCACCTGATGCCTGGCATTGGGTTTCTCTCTGTCCTTTGTGAGGGCCAGAGCAGGTGGGATGGGGAGGCAGGCTCTTCCTGGGAAACTGGTCCCAGCTGCTGGGGCAGCAGAAGCTCATCCCTGTGCGGGGCCCTGGCTACCAGTTTCAGTACCGCTCGGGTCTGGGTGTGTGTTCCAGTCCTGCCACTCCTGGCTCTGTGACCTTGGGCAGGTGACTTGACCTTGGGCAGGTGACTTGTTTCCCCTTAATATGAAAGGGAGCTGCATCACGGCGCTGGCCAAATGAAACTATGCATGGAACATTCTAGCCTCGTGCCTTGCACAGAGTTAAGTTCCCAGCGCCCGGCGGAGGCGACGGCCATCATCACCTTTCTCTCTAGTTGTGTCTCTTGCCGAATCAGATCCGGCACCGTGCTGTTGGTGCCAGCTACTTAGCAAACAGCCTCACGTCCTTATCTCCCAGGACCCTGCAGCTGTCCCTCTCAGGGACGGAAAGCGCGTGCTGGAGTCGGCGATCACAGCCTCCCCAGGACAAGGACTGGAGATTGGAGCGAGGGTCTTTTCACCTTTAAACATCCCGCCCCAGCTCGCCCGGTGTTCTCTCCTCCCGCACACGTCACCGTCCCCTCCTCTGACTTGGCACTGAACTCCAGGCCCTGCTACGTCACACCTTCAGAGCCTTGGACTTGGGAGTCGAGCGAACACACCGGAGCCCTGAGCTGAGACGCACGCTAGCACGCATGTCCCTCTGACACCCCGTGTCTCCCTGGCTTCGCCAAACGGTCCATCCCAGGACAGGTGCTTCGCGGGCCTGTCCTGAGTCCCCGCCTTCCAGTGCGGGGGGAAGCCCGCCGGCGATGGCATTGGCGAGCACTCCCGAGTGTGCGCTAAGCCCCGGTCCGAGGGACAGACTCAGCGACCCTGCTGGTCGTTCCTTTGCATGGCAGTCCCCAGACACCAGATCTTCAGTGTCTTCCCTTCATCTCCTTGTCACAAGTTGCAACGTCACAGATGAACAAGTGTGCGTAGGGCCAGCCCTGGAGCCAGCTTCCTGGGCTGCTCCCCACCATGGCCAGCTTACAGGTGTCAGGTGGCACCTGGAACGGCATGAATGCTGTATGAATGCCGCTTGTTATTTCTCTGAACCACTTGTACTGCTGTGTACGTCCATCTTTTCTTAAATTGGATCATTTTTTCATTTAAATACATTTGGTCTCATTCTCAAAGGATACTTACTGTATGCAGAATGCTGGTTTTCATGTGGTATTCCTTTTTTCTTAATATATGAAGGAAACACACGTACACTGGGATTACTGTAGGGTCACGTCCGAGCTCCCCACCACTCGTGTATCCCTGCTGGTGACGTGGGATGTTCTCATGGTGCTGTCGGGGAAATCGAGGCAGGCGGGGGTACGCCCAGCTATGCTGCGGTGAGTTGACTGAGACTCCACCCTGGTTCCTTCATGTCTTTCCCCAGTGCTGCCCCCACCTGGAAGGTGTGTCTCTTTGACCGAGGAAAGCAATACGGTGCAGTTCTCATTCTTGTCATCAGAGGGCGCCAAGCCTTTTCTCCGAGCCTGTCTTCCCCTCATATCCCTGCCCTCAGTTTCCCCTTCTGTGTGTGGGTGGGCAGGCTCAACTTCCTGAGCTCTGGCTGTGACCTTGTGTGAGGCCGTGCCTTCGTCCAAACTCAGTATTTGCCCGGCTAAAGGGATGGTCGGGTGGCAGCCGTGGGTGACGTGGAGGTGGCCAGGTTAGAGACCCTGGGCCTCGAGCTCACCAGGAGGCTCCTTGTGAACTTCAGGAGCCAGAGGGGCAGCTCGATTCAGCTCGGGCAGTCAGGGAGGGCTTCCTGGAGGAAGGGATGTCAGAGTCGACCATCTCAAGGACCAATCACAGCTTCAGGGGTTGCTAAGGTGTCTCTTGTTACCTGTAGACTCTTTGGGATACTGAGGACTGCTAGTGATGATACCACATGTGCCCAGTCTCTACTTCATCCCCAGACAACCTGGCCAGGCCAGCCCGTGGGCCTCTATGGAAGCAAGTGTGTCCAGGGTAGAGGTTTCTGCCCTTTGGCCATTTGATGAGGCCTGTGATCCCCTTCTCGGAGTGAGATTTCTAAAGGCAAAAAATAAATAAATAAAGGATACCAGTTAAAATATCGTTAGCTAGAATTTTTTTATGATAGTCTTGTATTTTTGCTTTTCTCCGTTGTCCCGTGAAACGGCGGGAGCGAGCGGCTCTCACGACGATCGTTTTCAGAGTCCTGACGAGCGTTCGAAAGCTACAGTGACGTTACGTGATGTGAAAACATCTGTCAGGTCTACTGACGACAGAATCTCAGGGCCTGCTAATCACGATTTCTTCTCTCTCTCGCCGACGGTAATAAAGAGGAAATGCTAAATTTCACTTTAGTTTAGTTACTGAAAATAAAGAGGCCGTTTTTCCCCACTCAAGTTCATGGACCCTTTGGCAGCGGCTCTAGTCCTGAGGGCTGCCTTCCAGGCGGGGGCGGCTTCCGTTTCCCCCCCGGAGCTGGGGGCCGCCAGGCACATGGCCACGTGTCAGGGCCATGGGTCCCCAGGAGGGCAGTTGCACCCGGGCAGGAAGTGAGGGGCAGAGGGCCGGGTCCGACCTCTGGGGAGGCTGGGGCCTGTGTCGGCTTCTCTCCTCCAGCACAGTGGCTCCAGCCTCCCCACCCCGACGCAGCACCGTGGAGAAGGCTCTGGAGCAGACGTTCGCCTCTGCCCTGCACCAGCTGCTTGGCCCCGGGGAGGCGGATTTCCTCCCCTAGGAAACAGGGCGGTGCTTGAGGAGATCGGGGTGCCTGGCCCCTTGCCAGAGCAGTGGCTAGCGGGAGAGTCTGCTAAGAGATGCTCACCTAGAAGCTCTGCAGGGGCTCCCACTGCACTGGCCCCCAAGGGCTGGGCCAGGATGGCCGCGGGGTGAGGGGAGGCGGGGAAGGGGTGCCAGGAGGCCCTCTTTCTGCCTGCCCCGCCTCCCCGGGTGCCACCCACCCCGCCGTGCCCACTCCGTCCTCCAGGCCCCGAGAACTCCTGCACCAGGGCCGACCCTGTCCCTCCCCCTGCTCAGACTCTCTCCTTCCTGCTCTTTCGGTTGCCCCCGGGGCAAAATCTAAGATGTTAGCCAAAAACTGAACACAGTACGATGTCCGGTCGCCTGGCAGTGGGGCTTGGGACAGTCGTTCTGCAGCATGAAGGGGCCCAGGCTTAAAGTCCCCCGGTTCCATGAAGGCCGCCGCCAAGGCCCCAAAGTGTCCCGCAGAGGCAGATCTGTGTAGACAAAGGGCCAGCCCTGCTTCCCCGTGGCTGCGGGCCTGGACTGCCCAAGGCGTGGGCTCACACAGCCATGGCGTTCGGGCTGCTCCTCTCCATCCAGCCCCGAGCAGCCGCCAGGGGATTTCGCAGCCGAGGGTGTTTCAGGAGTGGGGACCTGAGGGGCCAGGCGGCATCACCGTGGAGAGCTGAGCTTGCTGCTTGGCTCTGCCACTTCCCAGCTGTGTGACCTCGGGCGAGGTGTTTCACCTCTCTGAGCTCAGCTTCCTCACAGGGCCAAAGTACAGATTCATTGTCTCATCCGAAACAAACCAACCAAAAACCAAAAACAGCTCTGGGCCTGGCCCTGCGCTGGGGGAGCTGGGAATGGCGTGAGGGAGACAGCCCCCCAGTCCCGGCTTCGTGGGTCAGCTAGTGCGGAAGGCAGCTGACAGAAGAAAGTTGTGTGGTGTTAGTTGTGTATTGTTTGTGTGAAGGAGCTGTGGGGAGGTGTGGAGAGTGGGGTGACTTGGTTTGGGGGTGCCCAGGGGCTCCTCCCTGGGACAGCAGTAGCTGCGAGGGGCCTCGACGAGAGGACAGAGCTCAGTGGAGCTTAGAAGGGCCGTTTTGTCCTGGAGGCCTAGAGGACAGGAGGTGCTGGCAGAGGCTGGGGTCAGGAGGGGCGAAAGGGGCCCAGGACATGGAGAGTCACAGGCTGGGGTCCTCTGTGCCCACAGCCCAGAACGTGACTGTGGATGAAGTCGTCAGCGCCTACAAGCAGGCCTGCCAGAAGCTGAGCTGCCGACAGATCCCCAAGCTCCTCAGGCAGCTCCAGGTATGCCAGGTTGGGGGGGGGCGCCCTCAGAGTTAGGGGGAGGGGCTCCTCAAGTGAAGCTGCCCTCCTCCCACCACCCAGCAGCCTCTGGGCCTCTGCCGTCTGCCCTAGAGCCCGAGAGGGCAAACAGAGCACCCTCCCGCCCAGCCTGCCCCCCAGCCAGGGGCCTGTGCTCCTGTAGCTGGGACAATGCTCTGCTCAGTTGTAAGTCATCAGGCCCTTCATGGATGTTTAAACACGGAATTACGTGAAGTAAGGATTCCAAGTATTTATCACTCCCCAAAGAACTTCTGTTCCCCGTGGGGAAAGCCATGTATGTGCTATTTGTTCTTACAAGCCTGAATTATAAAAGCACAATATTCTGATTTTTAAAAAATCAAAATACTAGAGACATAAAAAACAAAATCCACTTCTTACTGTTTGCCGGAGTCCCATTCCCCAGAAGTCCCCAGTGTTGACAGTTCGGGGCTTTGTCCTCTGACCTGCCTGGGCATCTGTCAGCGGGCAGGTCACTCCCCAGAGGTGCAGGCGGGGGGTGGGCTCTGTTTCTGTACAGCCCGGTGCCCGCAGGCGCCTCTCCCGTGGCCCACGCAGCCTGGCCACGTGGGTAACGCACTGGCATAGCGCCTTCCCTCTGGGTGGGCCATTCCAGAATGTTCCCAGGTTGCTTGTTTCCAGGGTTGTTGCTCCCTTAGACAGCACTGCCCTGAGCGGTCATGCTCGCTGCCCACCCCGGGTTGGAGTTCTGTGGGGGATCCCAGAAGGGCCTGTCCAGGGTAAGACGGCCTCTCGGCCTGGTGGCCACGGCCGTGGGCCCTGCCCCTGGCCACCCCTTACTAGCGAGTGACCCTGGGCAGGGCTGGGCCTTCGCCGCCTTGTCTGTACGCGGGTTCTTCACAGCGCCCACCTTGGGGGTCCATGAGTGTGGAGCCCAGAAAATGGACCCGGCAGCTGTGGGGGTGGCGCTGGGGGTCAGAGCCAGCAGGGGGCTCGGAGGACGTGTGTCCAGCACCTTTACTTCCTTTTACTGAGCACTCGCTGTGGGCCAGGCCTGGCACCCTGCCTTCACCCCAGGCCCCTCCCACCCAGACTGTCAGCCTTCCCGGCCTCAGCGGCTCCTCACAGCCTTTGCACTGGCTGTTCCTGTGCCCGGGATGCTCACCCCAGAGGCTGCTGGGGCCCATCCCCTCGCTGCGTTCGACTGGGACAGAGGGGCTGTGCCCAGGCTGGGGCCGCTGGTCTGTAGAGGAGAAGCCGCCCTCCTGCCACCCCAGAACACTGCCTCACCTCGGAAAGCGCAGAGCCCTAGCGGCCCCGCAGTCAGGGTCCAGCCTGGCGCCTGCAGATGTCCTTCTGCTTTAACCGCCGTCCACTCTGCTTCCCCAGGAGTTCACGGACCTCGGGCACCGCATCGACTGCCTGGACCTGAAAGGTGAGTGTCTGGCCAGGAGCCCGTGGGTAGCGGCAGGGGCAGGGGCCGGGGCCAGGCCTGAGAGAGGTGCGGGGGGCAGAGGGTCCCCCCGCTACGCACGCCCACGCACGCACGCCGAGCGCTTCATCTCCCCCAGGTGAGAAGCTCGACTACAGGGCCTGCGAAGCCCTGGAAGAGGTCTTCAAGAGGCTGCAGTTCAAGGTCGTGGATCTGGAGCAGACAAACCTGGACGAAGATGTGAGCGGCCCCTGCCACCACCCTGACCTGCTCCTTGAGCAACCTGGCCCCTTGGGGGATTACCTGGGGAGAGGACAGTGCAGGAGGCGGCCAGGGCTTGGACAACGGCTGGGCTCTTTGAGAGACAAAATGGGGAGATCTAGTGTGGCCAGAGTGGGTGGGTGGGGCCCAGAGAAGGGACTTCGCAGACCCACCCCAAAGGGCAGAGAGATCTGGGGGGCCAGGCCTGAGGAGGGGCCTGTTGCCCCTGGAGCCTTTCCAGGACCCTCAGCTCCCTGGGGATCACAGCATCTGCAGGGGAGAATTTGAGAAACTTCTGAAAGCGGCCTCCCCGTTAATGCCCAGGTGTCCTCACCTCCCCAGACTCAGAGGCCACCAGGAGCCCAGGACTTGGGCCGCAGGTCTAGAGACAGGAGAGTCAGGGGGAGGGGTCCTAGAAACCAAGGCCCAGGCCCAGGGATTCCAGAGGCCTGTAGTGGCCGCACAGCACATCAGTCCTGGGGGCGAGTGAGGGAAGCAGACTGGCTCCTGCAGGAAACGGGAGAAGTGCCCGAGCAGCAGCAGGACTCGGCCCCTACCTCCCGCCCTCCCCTCGGCCTGGGCCTGAGGCTGAGCCCGCGCTCTCTACCCCCAGGGTGCCTCGGCCCTCTTCGACATGATCGAGTACTATGAGTCAGCCACGCACCTCAACATCTCCTCCAACAAGCACATCGGCACCCGGGGCTGGCAGGCCGCCGCCCACATGATGCGCAAGGTGGGCGCCCCGCCCCCCAGCCTCTGCTTGCAGGTCCTGTGTGCAAGCCGCCCCGGCCCCATTCCTCCTCCGCCCCTCTCCCCTCCCCTTGCCCGTAGTGCATGCCTTGGAGGCAGCTAAGGCCACCAGCCCTCTTTCACTCATGCAGGAGTCAGGGAACTCGGCTGTCACCAGCCCTGCCTCGCTGACCCACAGGACCCCAGGCTGGCCCTTCCAGCACCAGCCAGCTGCCCTCTGGGGCTTGGGTGGGAGGCCCCTTGGGGCAGGGAGGGCTGAGGCCAGCCTGACCCAGCCCGCGCCCCTGTGCCACCAGACCAGCTGCCTGCAGTACCTGGACGCCCGCAGTACGCCCCTGCTGGACCACTCGGCGCCCTTCGTGGCCCGCGCCCTGCGCATCCGCAGCAGCCTGACGGTGCTGCACCTGGAGAACGCCAGCCTGTCGGGGCGGCCCCTCATGCTGCTCGGTGAGCCGGGAGGTGGCGTGCAGCCTGCTGGGTGCCTGGGGCTCTTGGCCGGGTCCTTGGGGCCTGGCCAATCACACGCCTGCCCCTTGCCGCCCCAGCCACAGCCTTGAAGATGAACATGAATCTGCGGGAGCTGTACCTGGCTGACAACAAGCTCAATGGCCTGCAGGACTCGGCCCAGCTGGGCAACCTGCTCAAGTTCAACTGCTCCCTGCAGATCCTGGACCTCCGCAACAACCACGTGCTGGACTCAGGTGTGCACGAGGCCCACCCACCCCTCCAGGCGCCCAGCACCCTCTGGCTGCTCCGTGGTGTTGGGGGCATCCGCAGGCAGAGAACTCAGACTGGGCACCGCTGGGCTGCAGGACCCCAGAGTGGGTGTCTACCTAGTCTAGGGGGTCAGGGCGTCCTGGAGGAGGGGACAGCTCATTGGAGACCTGCAGGATGAAGCAAGGTGTTGAACAGATAATTAAAATAACAACAGTCTGAGAAAAGTGCTTTGAAGGAAGCAGGGTTGTTGGGATAAGGGTCAGTCTTGGCCTGTGTAACCTCCAGGGAGGGGACCTGTAGGTGGCGTTGTGGAGGCTGAGAATGGAACCAGCCTTTTTAAAAGCCTGGGAGGAGAGCCCAGGCAGGAGGCAGCAGGCGTGAAGGCCCTGAGGTGGGAGAGAGATTCGATATTGGCTGTTTTGGGGGGAAAGCCACAGTGAGCCTGGGGTGGATGGGAAGAGAAGAGAAAGTGCTTAGAGGAAGAATTTGGTTTTCTCGTGGGGAGGGCGGCTGTGACCTGGTTCACTGTGGAGCAGCGCCCCCTGGCCCCAGCGTGAAAAAGGGGGGCGGCGAGGCCAGTGCCTCCCCCCGGGTGGCCCGACCCCAACACCACATTTACTGAGCACCTACCCCATGCCTGGCCTGTCGCCTCCAGGCTCCCAGCTGTGAGACCTCTGCCCTCGGGAAAGACAAAGTCAGGATAAATTAATCAAATATTGGCTGTCACATGGTGACATGTGCTCTGGAGAAGAGTAAAGACACGATGGAGAAGGTGACATCTGAGCAGGGCTCTGAGGCAGACAGGGAAGAGTGTCCCCGGCCCAGGGGTCAGGGCTGCGCGTGTGCCAGCCGAGGCCGAGGCAGCGGGCCGTGGCAGGACCCAGCCCGGGGGCGGGGCGGGCCTAGGTGAGGGCGGAGCCCTGGGGTTCAGCGCGCTGGCAGAGTGGCGATTACTCCCAGGTCGGTGTCCTGTGGGTCAGCGCCCAGGCCACAGGCAAGACTTGCCCACGCACCCCCCAGGTCTGGCCTACATTTGCGAGGGCCTCAAGGAGCAGAGGAAGGGGCTGGCGACCCTGGTGCTGTGGAACAACCAGCTCACACACACGGGCATGGCCTTCCTGGGCATGACGCTGGTGAGTGGGCCTGCAAGAGGGCGGGGGGGGCGCCCCAGTCCCCACCACCACCACCTCCCCCAGTGCCAGCGCTCAGCATCGTCACCTTCCCCCCGTCACGTGTCTCAGCCTTGCTCACCCGCAGGTTTAGGAACCGTTTTATCTAACCTTTCGGCTTCCGCTCGCACCCCCCTTTCCCCTGAGGAAGGTAGCCCTCCTCGCGCTGACGCTTCCCATCCAGCCCCGTGCACGGCCTAGCACGGCGCTTTGCACAAGGTGAAACTGTTTTGCATAGAAAGCTAATATTTCTGAGAGCCTTCAGTGCGTCTAAGTCTTTTCATCACGCGGTGTTTGAAGCAGGCTCACAGCTCTCCGGATGCCAGTGGGGGCAGCGGGCAGGCCCGGGTGCAGGGGGTGGACTTGGGGAGACCTCTCGGTACCTGAGGGGTTCAGCCTTAAGCAGGATGCGCAGCCCTGCCGAGGGGAGCATACGACTTCGCCTCTCTCCACCGGCCTGGGCCCTCCCTCCCTCCCTCCTTCCCTCACACCGGGCGCCCCCACAGCCGCACACGCAGAGCCTGGAGACGCTGAACCTGGGCCACAACCCCGTGGGGAACGAGGGCGTCCGCAACCTCAAGAACGGCCTCATCGGCAACCGCAGCGTGCTGCGCCTCGGCCTGGCCTCCACCAAGCTCACCTGCGAGGGTAGGGAGGGGGGCCGGGCCCTGGGGGCCGGGC